CATTTTAAGGCAATCTCTGAAACACCTTCCAGTTGGGTTGATCTCAAGGTGATACAATCCCTAGTCTAAAGTGGGGTTGTTGGGAAAGAAGGGCAGGTCAGTTTGCTCTCACCTGTGTGGTGTAGTGATGGTGGGGCATTCCTGGTCTGGGAGGCCCCATCTGCTCTCAGGGGATGCCTGGAGCCCAGGCCTCACAGTCACCTCCAGCTCTGCTCCGGTTCTCTTCAGACTGCCACAATAGCAGGAAACGGAGGCTCCTCGTGATCTGCTTGGAGTGGGGATTTCCACGGGGAGGGCGGCCAAGCCTGCCACCTGGAGCCCCACAGGCCAGCTAGGGCACACTCCTGAGGCTATGAGGGAGTGACGGCCTGGGAGATGGGAGAGGTCTTACCAGTTGGAGCAGGGGACAGAGTAGCTTCCCTTTCACCAGCCCCGGGGGTGCATGGGCATTTTCCTGAGCAGCCCCTGAGAGTCAGAAATACAGGGGTGGGATGGGGGAAAGAGTGTGGGGCTCAGGAGTGGGGTCTTGTTCAGTTAGTCTCACCCCACCTCCTGCAGCCCTCCTGTGCTGCCCTGATTTCCTTCACATCAAACATCTGCAGGAGTCACGATCAAAAAACTGAGAGCATCAGGATGGAGGGTTTAAGAAGGGAGGGAAAGGGGGAATGAAACAAGACGAGGGAAGAGTGAGAAAATGGGTAGGAGGGAAATGGGTGGGGAGGAGTGGAGACAGTGAGAAAGGAAGCTGAGGAGATGGGGGAGGAGGTGACCAAGAAAGGAAGTGGGGGGGAGGGTAGAGGGGAAAATGGGTGGCAGAGTAAAATGGGATTGTGAAAGAGGAAGGGGCCACGAGGGGAAAAATACTGGCAGGAGGGAGAGGAGGAGGACTGTAGGGGAGGACCACGAGCCGCTCTAGGGTCCCCGACTCAGAGGCTTTGCGCGGTCTCTGGATACGGCTAGCATCAAGAGGTAAGAAGGTCCTTGCCCCCGGTTGGCAGGAGCGCAGGGAGGTGGAGGGAAGTTGGAGAACCTAGAGGCATGTTCTAGGATCAAGGCCCAGCTTGTGCAGGCCAAGAGAGTCTCCCTAGCCCTCTTCGCTAGGGCCCCGGGCCCTTGGCGGGAGGATGGAGAGATGCCCAGGAAAAAGACCAGCACTGCCAGGCCCTAAGTGCACGGGCTTGGAGACGCAGCGCCAGAGGCGGGCAGGGCACAATAAGGGCTGAAGCCCTTACAGTCCTGCAACCTGGAGCCACCAAACCAGGGACCTCCGACCTGACACCCAGGCGAGGCTGCGAGGTCCAGAGCCTGGACCTGGCTCCTAGGGCGTGCCACTCCTGACCCCTGTGGCGTGCGTCCTGACGCACCGCGGCTTGGTACCTCGGCCCTCGCTACGGTTCCCTGGCTGATTCTGAGCAAGGCCAGCAGCCTACGGCCCCAGCAAACCCCCACATAACCGTGGGGTCAGGCAAGCCGAGCCGGGACTCCGCCTGGGCAGTGCTGATGGCTGGGGGTCCCTGCAACTTCAGGACCAAGGGCAATAAGGGGTTAGGCCCGCAGACCCGGCCATCCGCTGACGCAGGGAAGGTCTCCATGAACCTTGGGGATCGCTCCCCGAATGCCGACCAAAGACCCAGACCTCCAGGCTCGACGCGGTGAGGGCCGGATGAGACGTTACTTAAACATGTTACTTAGAAAAGACTGCAGTAAACATTTCTTTCCAAGTGAAAAAGGTCTTTTTTGTTCCCAGACGGTTTGAAGGTATTTGTGCCAACATGACCCCCAGGAAATTTGGAGGAAGCTTTCTACGTCCTTGGAGGCCGAAATCCTGAGCGGGTGTTCGGTTGAAAGCAGACAGTTTCGAGTAGATAGCGCTGGAAGAGACACAAAGAATCTCTCTTGCTTCTTGAACACGAAACCACGTTTCTCTCTTTCTTTCCCCTCTACTTACTGCTCAGCAATCCGCACGGAGCGAGCAGGAGCTCTGGTTCAAATGAGTTAATTTGCCCAAGACTGCAGTCACTCTTCTGAAGTCAAATTACATTTTAAAGGGGTTATATACATTGAAATTTCGCTACAGAAAGCTAAACGCAAGCTAGCAACAATAAAAAAAAGTTAAGGAATGCATTCAGAATTCCAATTTAATCCTCAAGTTAAAACTGCTCACTGCACGCCCAAATAGCACATGCAAATTGTGCAAATAAATGTCTATATACAGGCATCCTTTTATTTTTCCTGTGTTTTTATTTGAAAAAATTTTGAATTGATTTCATCCAACAAAGATACAGTGTTTTCGACATTACTGTTTTATTGACATTATTGGTTTTGTTAAAGAAAGTGTAATTTACATTTTTATCTTTAAAATTTTTGGAGGGGGCAGATCCACAAAGACAGCTGTAAAATTATCTCCCTGAGAAATCAAAAGTCACATTCTCAGCAAGGGCCTGTAATTTACAAAGAACTACACAAAATACTGATTTTGGACAAATTTTGTCCCAGGAAAGAGAAGTACTAATTAAAAAAACTCAATTCCAAATAAAATCTAGGAAAATGTGGCATTCCTACAAACACATACAAAACAAAGTAAATACTTAAAACAGCATTTCAAAATCTCTGTTATGAAATTCCTTCAACAAGAAAAAAACTCTCAAGAAATTAGACCAGTTTAATGCCTTCTAGGACTCGCCAACCCAGTTGACATTTCTTTAAAAGCCCAAAGTGTATTCACCCGTCTCGCAATTAAAATGCTATTGCTTCTGAATTGCTTTAAAAAAAAAAAATTGGATAGCTTTCTAACATTCCTTAACTAAAAACCAAAGCAAGGCACACACGCGCGTGAGTGCACAAACACACACACACCCAACAACCACCACCACCACTACCACCAACAAATTAACAAAAACCCATTTTGTGGCTCTCTGCTTCTCTCTTTTTCTCTCTCAAAAGTTGTCATTGAAAATGAAACTTCGAGGAAAACAATTAAAAAACGATTAAAAGATTCACCTGAAACGTTTTGGCTATCTGAGTTCATCATTACAAAGATAATTTTTCATGCTTTAATAGAAAAATCACTTCTGATTGTAGTGTTACATTGTCACATTTTTATTAGAAACCACGATAACTTTCAACCTGTTTGTGGCATTAAATGACTATTTGAATAGTTGAGAGACAACAGGATAAGCCGTGGCATTTATAACTAAAATTATCCATTATCTGCCTATATTTATAGGTACATTAATTAAGCAATGTTTGTGCAGACAATAACAGTTATGAGAACACTTTATAGCTTTCAAAAAATTGTCACATTTTTCATTTGATAATGCATTTATTGTAATGGCTAGCATGTGGTTTTTCTTAAAAAAAAAAAAAAAAGATACAAACGTTTATGCATCTATACAGCACTTCCCCTTCACGGAATTTGCCACCATTTACTGATGATCTTTAATCATAGGGTGGGAGAGAGAGCTTGTATAAACGTATGAGGTGATGAAAGAGTAGGAAGGTAGATACACTCGATTAAAATAAAATCAAACACTTCCATGGATGCAACCACACTTACTTTACCTGATAGTAATTAGCTAAACTGCCTGGAACGAAAACCTATTATTAGTAGAGCACAGCTCGAGGATTTCAAAGATCTCCTTTTCAGACAAGAGAATGCAAATGCCCCAGAAGGCGATCGTAACTGGATAGGCGTTGGAACCAGATCCCACCCTCCGATAAGTGACTCCTGCGGAGCGACTGCTGCTGTACTACTACCGCTCGAGTTCTCCTCCTTTCAGGCCCGCGGCCGTCGCGAGTACCAGCTTCCTGCGAGCGAAAAGGAGGCCACCTAGATGGGGATTGGCTTTGGGGGAATCCCTGTGGGGAAGCTCGGCCACTGAGGAACCAGAGCAACTAACGGAAGCCTGAACAACACTGAGAGGGCAGTCCGAGACAACCCAAAACCCTGCTCTGGGCATAAAACTCAGATCAACCTTAGGGATGCGGTAGCGGATAGAGGTTTTCCGCACGCTGGATCAGCCCTGCGCTGGGCTGGAAATGGGGAAAGGAAGGGGCGATAAGGCCTAGATGCCACCCGCTAGACCCCTTTTCCTGGGTTCCCCACGCTGGGAGTCCTCACAGGCGCTGGTGGCCTACCTGCCCAGGGTCCTCAAGAGACAACCCCTTAGGCCTGGTGTAAGGTACCTAGCCCGGGGCTGCCGAGGTGGAATTTTGGGTAGAGAGGCTTACGTGGGCCTGCTAGTGGGAAGGAGACGGCCCTCTGCGTGAGCTGATAGAGGGGCCCTGGCAGGCTCCGGCGGGTGCAGCGCGCCTGTGGGCGTGTATCGACCATCAGGCGCTGGAGGGGCGCTTTGTCCCGATCGCAGTTCTAAGACCTAGATTGTTGGGGCTAGATTTAGGTAAGGCCGAGGAGAGAAGCAAGGCTGAGAAGCAAGGGAATGTATCAAGGAGAAATGCAGGCAGGCTTCGGTTGGAAAGTGGGGGGAGAGAGATTGTTTCGATAGCCTTTGTCCTTTTCTTTTTCCAGAATCATGAAATCACCCAAGAGGAGAGGAAAACGGGACTAGAAGAGAGCAGAAATATTTCCTAGAGACGGTTTTGCCTCAGAGGTAGAGTGGGGAAGTGGGGCTGGAGCTCAGCTTCCTGCCTGTGTGCTCAGCTGCCACCGTAGTGCACTCACACTCAAGGTCCGCCACCCCGCCCCGCAGTGCCTTGCACCCCTCTGCCCCCACCTCGGAACCTTTGCGCCTGAGCGCTCGGGATCCACTGCAAAACCAGGCACGTTCCTCCCTCTGCAGACTCACCGCCTGGTTTGCAGACACCGGCCTCCCCCTGGGGCGTCAATACTTGCAGGATTTAAAGCAGAAAGACACCGGGCGCCCCTGTGGCTGAGGAATGGCTGTTCCGGCGCAAGACCCTGCCCACAGAGGGTCTCTCCCCACCGCCTGTGGGCCACCCTAAGTACTCCGGGGCGCACGTGGCCCGCGCGGCATCCCAGCTTGCCCGGAGGACCTAGGGGCTGCCTCTCCACAACATTTCCGCTCCCTTCTGAAGAGTCCCGCCTCTCCCCCCTCCTGACAGGCTGTTCTTTCTCCCTTCAGCCTTGGGCACCCACTCCTGTCGCCGTTGTGGCCCCGCGTGGCAGCGCTTCACCCTCGTACCCACTCCCAGCCGGTGTCTTACGCCGCTCGGAGGCAATGTCCACCCTCCCTGCACCTTTCACCCGCCCCTTCCAGCTGAGACGGCTCTCTTCCAGCTCCCTCATCCTGACTGCCAAAAAATGCTTGGAGCAGCTGGGGCCGGATAAGGAGAGCCAAGGTTGAGCTGGAACCGGTCCCTACGTTTTCAAGGCCAGCGCTGCACACAGGTCTTTCTACGGCCCTCAAAGCGGCACCCGCTGCTCCTCACTGGGCTAGGCTGGTAGCAGCGAGCGAATGCCTATTGCACAGGAAGAAGATGGTCCCTACCAGCGCAGAGTTTCCAGAATCTATGGGGACGGCATAGATTTCCCCAGAAAACAACCAGGGCCTCATGAAGGTGCCAGAAGGCGTATAGGTAGAGAAATTTTAAAAGCCTGTCGGAGAGTCAAGGCCTAGACTCAGGCTCCTGATTTCAATAGGCGGAAAAGAAGGCCGCCAAGGCTGGGTCCCCTCCCTTGTGAGGACAGTTCCTGCTCTCAAAACCGTATGAAGCCACTCAGTGTGTTCCACACTCCAGCCACGCACCACCAATGCAGTCAACAAACACTGCTTGACCTCCCATACGGAAAAGCAGTAGCTCACACGTACTGAGAGCTTAACACGCGTGAGGCCGTTTTGCCTCATTCAACCCTAGCAACAACCCTGAAAAAGGTATTATTGCTTTCGTTCTATCGACAAGGAAACTGAGACTTAGAAATGCCCAAGATACACACACTGACGAGGCCAAGCAAGAGCTGTCGAATACCAAAGTTTAGTCACAACTCTGTCTTCCTTTTACATACTGCTCTGTGCGGTTGCTGCCAGAGATACAAGGGCAAAATCAACCCCGAGACCCTGCCCTCATGGAGCTTACAGTCTAACTGGGGCAACCAGGCAGGCACGTACAGCTATAGAATTAAGTGGGAAGTGATAAGTGACACGCGTGTCCTTTGCTAACACGAGCTGCAGGTTCAGAGGCTGAAGGGAGGGGACTTCCGGCTAGCCGATCTAGGAGCTCTTCCTTGGAGAACAGCTTTCCACTCGTGGAGGATACGGGTAAGAAAGATGTTCCAAGCGGACAGAAAGCTTGAGCAAGGTCAACAAGGTGGAAACGGACGTGTCGCCCACCCGTAAATAGAGAAAACGCTCCGTCTCCTCGTGGATCCAGCGCCCGGTATTTACCCGCCAGGAAGTTTTCGTGCCCCGCGCAGCAGCTGAAAAAAACACACTCCTGGGGCACCCTTCCCTGGCGTTGGTTCATGGACAGCAAGCCTCCCAGAACTGGCCTAAATCGGACAGGTGCAGCCACGCGGGAATCAGTGGTTCAGGAACCGGATCCGTGCAGCCTTGGCCCGCAGCGTCTCGGACTTCAGGACTCTATACTAGTCCTTGCAAATTTCTGGTAGAGCCGCAACAACCCATTTGGTGAGAGCAGGGGGCGTAGCCCCTTGAGCCGGAACCAATGGGGAGGGAGTCTGGGGCGCCGGCCCCGCCCCCGGCATGACGCAAGGCTCCCGGACAGAGGCTTCGCAGCCCGGGCCCCAGTCCCTGCAGTGGCTGTAACAAAACCCAGACCCCCAGGTCCCGGCCAATGGAGGCGATTTAGACTGGAGTGGGACCGCGTCTGTCAAAAGCCCGACTCAGCAGCAGCGGCGGAGTCCAAGAGGAGAGCTGGAGCCGCCGCGCTGCCTCCCCGCCCCCGCCGGGATTTATTATTTGGACTGGACAATTAAGTGGCCCTGATGATGTTACCAAGCCCGGTCACCTCCACCCCTTTCTCAGTCAAAGACATTTTGAATCTGGAGCAGCAGCAGCAGCACTTCCATGGTGCGCACTTGCAGGCGGACTTGGAGCACCATTTCCACTCAGCGCCCTGCATGCTGGCCGCAGCTGAGGGGACGCAATTTTCTGACGGAGGGGAGGAGGACGAGGAGGAAGAGGGCGAGAAATTGTCCTATTTGAACTCACTAGCTGCAGCCGACGGCCACGGGGATTCAGGGCTGTGTACCCAGGGCTATGTCCACACGGTCCTGCGAGACTCGTGCAGCGGGCCCAAGGAACATGAAGAGGAGCCCGAGGTCGTGAGGGACCGGAGCCAAAGTGAGTAGAGGGGGAAAAGAAAAGCACCCGCACACCTGGAGCAATGGCAGAGTGCCCGCAAACAGCCCACTAACCTTGCCAGCGCTGCTGCCCACCCCTTTACCCTTTGGCTGGGGACATGCCTCCGCCCTGGTCACCGACAGCTCCACAAAGCGCAGGTACCTGCAAGGGACCCGGGGCGGAGAGACAAGGATGAGGTGACCCTGACAACTACTCTCCACCAAAGGGGGAAATAAGGGAAGGGGAGGTGGTTACTGCTGCTCTGATGCTGAGAGGCTACACAGGCTCAGCGCCTGGGTCCTCATAACTGGTAGTGTTTTTGCTCTTCCCCCCCCCCGCCCCCGCCAAAAGACTCTTCCCCAAAAAAAGGGCAGGAGCCTGGACGTTTTTCACTTTCCCTCTAGGGTGAGATGAGTTCTGCCCACGGCAGCCACCCCTTCATCTCCGAAAAGACAGCCCAAGCAGCCTGTGTGTCTCGCATCCGCAGGGCGCAGGAACTTTGGTGGAGGCCAGCTGGGTGGTTTCCTCCCTTCTCGGCTTGGAACTCAGCTTCCCTAAACCCATGGTACCGGGTAGAAAGAGAGGAGGCGGTCAGAGAGTGCGTGGGAACATTGCCTATTCCAAGGGGCCATGGCTCTCACACCCCTAAGGCGCCAGCTGTTTTTGAAAATCCGTAACGTTGTGCTTTGTGTCTCAGGCTGCGGGCGGAATAGAAAACGCGCCGAACTTAGTCCGAGATCCTGGCTGCTCACATCCGACGAGAAGTGAATTGATAGGGAGATAGGATAATCGAATAAAGTCCCCAAGGAAGTGTATTTGAGAGGACAGAATCACAGTCTTTCCCCAAGAGGCGATTTAATGTGGCAGAGGCCAAGGCCTATGCTCTCACAGTTTCCAGGGCCTAAAATCGGCATGAAACTGTCTATAACTAGTCAATCAAACTTCATTTTCAAAGGGCACACAGACATTGTCATCACACTTGCATGTAGTCTTTCATAAGGCACACACACACACACACACACGTCCCTGGGCCATGCACAAGCATTACACTAGGAACAGATTTTCACGCAGTCTATGTACACCGCCCCACTTACACCAACTCGACTCACACCTTCAGCTATCCTTGTGGAATAGAAGGCAAACGAGTTTGCAAATACTGTAGTAATGCAGTCTTCAAACCTTCATCCTGAAAATAGTCATTAGCACGTCGAGCCGCACATTTAATACAGAGTAATCTCTTCTCTTGCAGATGCTCAAGATCCAAATAAACACGCACTAAGTACCCCTCCCCACGAAACGCGCCTCCGCCGGCTGAGGGCGTTCTTTGGGTACTGGGGCTGTCGCAGGGTCCCACAGCGCCAGGAGCCACAAACGTTCCAAAAAGTCCAGGCATTTACTACTGCACGCTCTGCGCAGCCACCAAAAGGGGCCGCGGTTCTCCGGGACAGGAGCCGCGGTGCGGCCGGGAACAGTTAAGTACGCTGTTGTTTGCTTCTTCTGCAGAAAGCTGCCAGCTGAAGAAGCCTTTAGAGGCGGCCGGAGACTGCAAGGCGGCGGAGGAGAGCGAAAGGCCGAAGCCACGCAGCCGCCGGAAGCCTCGGGTCCTCTTCTCGCAAGCCCAGGTCTTCGAGCTGGAACGCAGGTTCAAGCAGCAGCGGTACCTGTCGGCGCCCGAGCGCGAGCACCTCGCCAGCAGCCTGAAGCTCACGTCCACGCAGGTGAAAATCTGGTTCCAGAATCGCAGGTACAAGTGCAAGAGACAGCGGCAGGACAAGTCTCTGGAGCTGGGCGCACACCCGGCCCCGCCGCCGCCCCGCCGCGTGGCGGTCCCGGTGCTGGTGCGGGACGGCAAGCCGTGTGTCACGCCGAGCGCGCAGGCCTATGGCGCACCCTACAGCGTGGGCGCGAGCGCCTACTCCTACAACAGCTTCCCCGCCTACGGCTACGGGAACTCCGCTGCGGCCGCCGCAGCCGCAGCTGCTGCCGCCGCGGCCGCCGCGGCCTACAGCGGCAGCTATGGCTGTGCGTACCCGGCGGGCGGCGGCAGTGGCAGCGGGACCTCCGCGGCGACCACTGCCATGCAGCCCGCCTGCAGCGCAGCCGGAGGCGGCCCCTTTGTGAATGTGAGCAATCTAGGAGGCTTCGGCGGCGGCGGTGGCGCACAGCCTTTGCACCAGGGTGCTGCAGCCGGGGCCGCGTGCGCTCAGGGCACCTTGCAGGGCATCCGGGCCTGGTAGGGACTGGGCGGGTCACGCGACAGGCACCCCAGCGCAGCCTGGCGCCGCGGGACTGAAGCGCGAGAAGGGCCGGACCTAAGGGTCAGGTCCCCTCGTTAAAAAAAAACAAAAAAAAACAAAAAAAAAAAACATATACTTCTAGCTCCTCAGGGCTTCGGATTGCAGCTCACTCGAGGCCTACGGAAGGGGGCTCAGGGGTGAGGAGGATGCCCGGGTCTATTCGCCAGGACTGTCTCTGAGGCAGAAACGCGGGCTGGGCGCCGGGGAGGACGATGGCCCCGATCTTGGCAGCGAGGGGAGTGCAGGAGGCTAGAACCCTGGCCGCGTTTGGCTCTTCCAAAGCAAGAAGGGCTTCTCTCCCTCGGCCTTTCTGCGGACTTGGCGAAGCGTTGTCGGGGAGCCCAAGGACAGAACAAATTAAAAGCATGAAGGAGAGAAAATAGGGGTCGTGGCTTGAGAAATCTCAGGCCCTACCTATCGTCTGCCACCTTTGCGGGCCTGGAGCGCCATAGCACAGTCGATTTCATTTCCCAGCTGCCTCCCCTCCGCAGCAGATACCTCGGTCCAGATCTCCGGATTGTCGGATTGTCGGGGGACTCAGGACTCTTCGAGGAAAACCAGCCAACTGAGATCAAAAGTTGGGGCGGGGAGGCTGAACAAATAACAGGACCTGGTGGCCCACCGGAGGTGTTACCGGGTTTCCTTTCTGTTTCGTATTCTATATTCAGCACATATTATCTATCTATATAACTATAACCACACGCCGTGTACACACCCGCTGCCACACACTACAGGAGTCAATAAACAAGGTGCAATATTTTCATACCGTTGGCCGGCTACAGAATTTGCTTAGCCCCAAAGAGTGGAGAAGAATCCTTTAGATAGGGCGGGAAGGGGAGGAAAAGGTGCGAGGGGGAAAGCCATCTTCCTTGGAAGATCGCAGGCCTGGTCTCCCATGAGCGAGGCCCCAGGCTGCAAGTCTGGTCTCTTCGTGGCTTTGTTCATTAATTTCTGTTTACTCCTGCGGGCTGGACAGTTCGAAGGCTCAGGGCCATTTGAAGTCCCGGACTTTGCAGTCCCCCCAAATTTTACCCAGATGCTTGGACTAGCTGTATAGACCTGCGTTCAGTCAAGTCTTGGACTCTGCCCCACCTCGAGGGTCGCGAGGAAAAAGGAAGCCTCGCCCCCAGGCCCAGTTATTGGCGGCGCGAAGGCTGCTCCTTCCCTGACTGCAGCCGGGGCTCCCAGCGCTCCCGGAGACGCTGCGCTGCGCCCCGCCGCGGCCGAGCTCTCCCCCTCGGCCGCCCTCCCTTCTCCCCCGGTTGCCGCGGCTTTATGTGGCTCCTTGTCACTTGCGGAGAATGCCTGTGCGAGGCCTGTGCTGCCACACGGCCGATTGTGAGCGTGCCAAGGCGGGTGAATGGGGAGGCCTCAGAGCGCCGCGCCATTGTGGGGCCGGGCCTCGCTGAAAGGCGGCTCCGGGCCGGGAAGGTGCGGAAAGAATGGCTTTTTATTGGAGTCCCGAACAAAAGGTGTGGTAGGAAGGCGAGGTCCCCTGCGCGAACAAAAACCCCAGCGCGTCGGATTGACGTCCCCCCCGAGCTCCCCATTGCTTCTCAGAGCGGGGGCTTTGTGCAGCAGTCTGCTCATACAGAGGGACGGAGAAATGCGCCGGGGTTTTGTTCCCCACTTTTTGTGCGCTGGGGGAGGGGGCGGACAGGGGAACGGGGGCTGGGCGGGCAGCAGGGAGGGGAGCACTGATTAGGCCTGGTCGGCCGGGGCGCTGAAACGTTCAGCGGGAGTCGGCGGCCTGAATGCTGGGTCATTATTGCTACAAGTTTAGCAATTTCACCCTTACAGGAGGGGGTGAGGCTACTAGGCTGCGGCGGGGCCGCCCGGCTGGGGAGCTGGAGAGACGCAAGGAGGAGAAAGAAAAACGAGGGAAGGAAGAGAGGGAGGAAGGCAGGCAGGCAAGGGAGCCCTCCGAAGCCCTCTGACCGCCCAGGATGCGACTTGGACACTTCCGAAAGGGCCTAGCGGGAGGCTGGAGAAGCGGCGCTGGTGGGCGAAGACCTTCTCTCCCCTCCCCTCGCCTCTCAGGCGGTAGAAAGACCCCGGAGCCCAGCGTGAGCCAGTGCGCCTGACTGCTGTCCCGCAGCCCCTCGAGGCCGGGTCCCTCCTCTTTCACGCCGCCCCCCAAGCTGAGACACAGCCTCCCGCCACGGTGACGCCCCAATCCTCCTCCCTACAGCGCTCTCTATTCTGGAGCCGTTACCTTCCCATGGATTGCTTAGGCAAAGGGCTGGAGAGGGAATTTTTGGTTCCTCACTTGCTTCTCACAGCCTGCAGCTGCAGACTTTCATTCATTCATTCATTCATTCATCCATCCAACCATCCATCCATTCAGTCAGATATACTGAGAACCTACTATGTATTCACTTGCACTGCTGACGGGAACTATGAAAAAGAAAGTGTCCCTAGACTGGTGGATTTTATTTTCAGGTGTGCAGGTGTGGGTGAAGGGAGGGGGAGACAACAAACAATGCAAAAACAGTAGATGAAATCTAAAAAGGAAATAGAACCAAACGCTGGGAGTGGAGGTCCTTTGAAGTAGGCGATGGGGAAAGCCTGTTGAGATTACATTTAAGTCAATACCTGAATGACAAGAAGGAAGTCATTCCAACAGTGCTTTGCTATCTCAGCCTCCCTGCCTCTGCACAGGCCCTCCTGTCCAGCTGGAATTCCCTTCCACCCCCATTTTTCTGGTGAACTCTTGCCTCTCCTTCAAGGCCAAGCTTCTTTCCTGAACCACCCAAGTAGAGGTAATCACTCTCACATTTGTGCCACCAGAGTCTTAGGTACTTTCCAATATCATAACATGGTGTCATGCAAAGATTTATTTGTCTCTCTCCCTCCCCAGGAGGTTGTGGAGGGCCAGGTTGGCATCTTTTCCCTTTGGGACAGGTACCACGGTAGGAGGCTGCGGGATGCCCTTGGGTCTCCTTCAACGCCTCTTCCCTGGCTCTCCGGAGCCGCATGAATTGCCCTGATGCTGTTGAGCTGTGGCCTGGGCTGCTGGCTTTGAGGGAAATGTGGAACTGGAATATTGGCTTCCCTGGGCCTAGTAGCCGGACATTGGCAACTCATCCCCAACCCAGCAGAAGGTCCCCCCTCTTCTGTACCCCATGATGCTGCCTCAGGACATCCTTCCCCACAATATTGCACCTCACCCTACAGCTCAATACCTAGGATAGGGGCTCAGAACTTGGTGAAGACCTGAACCCCAGGACACAAAGTTTGGGGACTGGGGAAAACTAGGATGTGTAAGAAACCCAGGACCCATATCTGGGACCCAATTCGACTTCCCCTACATTCACTAGGTTTAGAGAATGAAAGGTGAGCAAGACCTGGACCAGCACCCTGTGAGAGGTCACTCCCCAGGTGGGATTTCAGCATCGTAGCTCTCGGAGTAGCTGCCCTTGCTCCATTGGGGGTTTCCTGAGTAAGCAACTACTTTGTCTCCAATCCAGTCCCCTATACTCCTGGGCCTTGGCCTCTCAGTGCTCCCCACACCACACCTCCATTTTCCTTGCTGGGCTTCCTCTTGCCCTATGTTGGTCTTCCTTCACTCTGCATTCCCTCTTGTTCTGGAAAAGTGGCTTGTGATCCTCATAAAGGAAACAGAACTGGTTCTGTGGATTGGCTTTTGCAAGTTTGCTTGTCTTTAGATACTTAAAGCCACTCCCTACCCTGCTCCGGAGCCTGCAGTCTCCAGGTATAAATAGCTCCCATCGTTTCACTGGAGGATTTCCCTGCTGCTCACTGCTGGGGTTCCAGGGCCGAGGCCATCGGAGATTGAAAGCCCTTGACCAATGCGCTACCCCTTCCTTGGGCTTCCTCTCCATGGGAAAAGTCCCCCCTTACAGGACAAACTGCTCCTTCATTAAATTGTCCTTTGAGCCAGAAGGAATCAAAATCCACACAGGCCTTCTAATGACCCATGAGACTTGGAACAGACCAAGTAAGTTGTTCTTCTGGGCTCTGGTTTTTGAGATCTATGGTGGAGAGAAGGGTGAACCATGTGATTTCAGAGGTCACTTCAGGCTCAACCCTCCTTGGTTCCCTTGGATGAGTGTGTAACCCCTCCCCACCCACTAAGCTCAGGGTGGGTGGGTGGAAGAAGCAGGATAGGTTTTAGGTGGCTAGAACTTTTTTCCCAAGCCTGACCTTGAGGAGTCAAGAGATGAACTCTGAAGTCAGACTGTATCCATTCTATCTCAGCACCACCACAACCAGCAGTGGAGACCTCGAGTAAGTTAGAAGTAACCTGAATCCGTTTCTTCCTCTATAAAATGGGTATGCTTGTAGCACCTCTCTCTCTCTCTCTCTCTGTCTCTCTGTCTCTCTCTCTCTCTCTCGCTCTCTCTCTGTGTGTGTGTGTGTGTGTGTGTGTGTGTGTGTGTGTGTGTGTGTTTTGGTTTGTTTTTTGCCTACAGTAAAATATGCAAGTAGTTAAGTATACAACTCAGTGAATGTTTATATCGTGAGCATTCATGTATCAATCATTTTGGCTTTGAAAGTTAAATGAGATGATCAGGCACTGCCTCGACGTTCTAGGAAGTTGACTAGGACTTCATTCTGCCCTTGAGGCATTCCCAGGTCCCCGGCGTGAGGAGGTGGAGACGGGTGGGGGAGTGGGAAGCAGGTAGGCACTAGGAGGACCAAAAACCCCAGCTCCGCGGGGCGCGTCTCCACCGAGATCCTGCAGAGCCTTTGCGGACAAACCCGGACAGGTGGCGCCTGGGGGGTCTGCAGGGCTTCGACTTCGCGCAGCTGGGACATTTGACAGAAAGGGAAGGTGAAAGGACCTATCCAGGAGGAGGCACGCGTCCTCTCTAGCCCAACACTGCAGGGAGGAAAGGGTAAGGAGGGGAAACCCGACACTTCTCCACAGGGCTTCTCCCCGGTCCGCAGGCGCCGCTGGAGTGACTCCGGGCCGCGCCTCTGCCAGGGTGGGGCCGGGTGGGCGGGCGCTTCCCTGGAGACGCACGCGTGCGGGAGACCGGGAGGTCCGAGGCTCCAGTCGCAGCAGTCGAGTCCCTCGCTTTCTGGTTCAGTACGCCAGTGGGGACTTCCCGGGCGCCTTCTCCCAACTCCAGGGGCCCGAGCCCTGGAAGGACTGATTTGTCCGCGCCTGAAGAGTTCAGTGCTCAGCCGCAGTCTGGCCCCGCGCGAGAGGGAAGGATCCTTCGAAACGCCGGGGGGTAGCGCAGGTGCCGCGAGGCGAGGCGGGGCGGGGCGCCAGGGGCCGGCAGCTGCTTCCCGGGCGGGCCCGGCGCGGTCAGATCCAGCTGGGCCAGAGTGCCCCGGCGAGCCCCGGGAGAGCCTAGCCGACTCTGCGGGTGAGAGCCCAAACTGCGAGAGCCAGCAGTCCTGACGTTCGCAACCTGCTCGCGGAGGTAGGACGGCCTGGGTGGGGCTTAAGGGGCGAGGGGAGGCCTCTGCAAGGAGTCCTGGGTAGGCGTCTGGCGGGGGGGGCACTGATCTCCAAACCGCGTCGGCTTTGTTTTAAAATATGCCCCCACCCCACCTAGATTGTAAGCGACAGATTAATAACAGCTAAGGTTTTCTAATAATCGTCCCTTTAGAAAAGGGCGATTAGTAAACTTCTTATGGAGTAAGAGATACATTCTGAAAACCCCAAGCGTAAGGCTCGCTCTGTCTTAAAAACGGAACTCTTCCGTGCTACCAACACCCAGATGAAGAAACAGCAGAACATTATCAGTCCCCGGAAAGTTCCCCCCAAGCTCCCTTCTTGTCATTACTACCT